GAGGAAGAGCCCTCCCGCTGCCCCAAGTATCCAGCCCCAGGAACCAGCGTGCGTTCAGGGCTTGGGTTCCGGCTAAAACCTGAGCAGACCCTGAGAACGGGAGAAATGGTGACAGGGGCCCACCCCCGAGCTCCGTGACCCCGCAGGGTGGCACAGGGTGAGAGGGCGATGTGTTTGGGATTTCTCCTGGGTCCGGCTCACTGCCTGCAGCCCCTGAGCTGCCCAGCTCACCTGCTGCCTTCCTGGAAGAGGGCAAACTCCAGGGTGGCGCGCTCCAACACTGTCAGCGATGTCACCGTCACTGGCCCGTTGGCCTTGTTGGGGAACATGCCCTGCACGCGCACCTCGTGCCAGTCCGAATGGAGCTTGCAGATATCCACAGAGTCAAAATACCTGCGGGGAAGCTGGGCTCAGCCCCGGCAGGGTGCTCTGCAGGTACACTGCTCTGCCCCAAGCCCCTGCAAGTCACCTGCACACCCCTGGGGATGCCCAGCCCTGACTGCCCCACCTTGACCCCCATGTCCCATTTTCTGTCCCCTGCCTGGCCTCCCGCCCCACGGCCTCCGCCTCCTGGGCGCTACCGTACTTAATGAAATCGCTGTACTCCATCCAGAAGACGCCCTCGCTGCTGCCATGGGGCATCAGGTCGTGACGCAAGGGAGCCGGCCAGTGTGGCCACTCGTCTGACCAGCTGCCGTTCCAGGAGAAGCGGCCCCAGGGGTTTCGGAGTCGCAGTAACCTGGGGAAAGGGGAAAAACAGTGTTGGAGGCCCAGGAGGAAGGAGAGCAGAAAGAAGATCACATCCGAGACGCTCTCCCAGCTCTGCAGACCCAGCCAGCCCTCCAGAGAGGGCACCACACCACTCCAGTCCCTGCCTTTCAAAGCCCTCGCAGCATCCCAGACCTAATCTGCCACCCCCACCACGGCCCCAGATGCTCTCATCCTGCAGCTCTGGACCTGCTGCAGCTCCCTCTGTCCTTCCCTGCCCAAAGGGCCTCCAGCCAAGCGCTGTGGGGACAGGGCTCATCCGGGTGGCGGCTGCCTGGAGTTGCACAAACCCAGGAGTAACACAGATGAAAATGGGGCTTCACACAGCACCCAGCTGGCAGGGCAGCACCCCTTTCTATTACCGCTCCCTTCCCCAAAGGTAAGAAGGATGTCCTGGCGATGCCTCGGGATCAATCCTCAATCCTTGCATCCTGTGAGAAGACCAGGCAAACCATTCTGCACCCCAGAGCCTCCTGGAGCAGAGCAGCCCTGGATGCGGAGCAAGTGCCAGGCCAGGAGAACTTAGATGACAACAGCACTTGTGTGACACCCCGGGACAGAGAAACAGCCCGTCCTGGCCATGAGGCTGGAACACCAGAGCCCCCAAGGTCCTGTCCAGCATGGACTCAATTATCTGTCCCCAGGGTGGCAGGAACGTCTGCTGTACCACGCCAGCCTCCACCCCGAACTCACCTGAAGCCCTGGACATCCCGCACGTCCAGGATGGAGTAGGCGTGCCGTGGACGCAGACCCATGCTCTCGTAGGCCACATCATCCACTTTCATGTTGCCTCCACCACAGGATGCGCCCATGAGGAACCTGTATGGGGGACAGCAAAATCCTCGGTGTCCTGCCAAGCCTGGCATGAGGAGAAGCTCGTCCCCACCAGTCGAGGCACAAGGCAGACTTCTCCTCCCAGGAAGCTCCTGGATATTCCCTCTCGGCAACCACACCATAAACCTCCCCGGATGCCCCAGCCCCACCAGCCAGAGCTCTGCCCAGGCAACAGCTCTCCCTCCACCCACTCCTGCGCGCACTCGAGCCCAGGCTCCATGGGGAGATTGACTGCGCAGGGCCCTCGCCTGTGGGGCTGGAAGCTCCGTCCACACACAGCAGAGCTTGCCCAAACCTCACTCAGTTTGTGCCAGGCCCCATCTCCGTGGGCACTTGGCAGGCAGCTGGCCCGCTCTGCGAAAAAGCGGCGGTACGGAGTACAGGCCGGTCGGGGTGGGAGTTCTGCACAGCCAGGCTTGGGGACACCACACCCTGGGACCTAGCGGCCTCCCGCGTGGCCTTGTCCTGCAGGCTTGTGGGAGCCACCCTGCTGCAGCCACCCCAACTACAAGCACCCTGTTTTCCACCACGCAGAGTCCAAGAACCTCACTGCCCTCCTGCTCCGATGCCATGCTGTGACCAAGAGGTCTTTGCTTTCGCTTTGTCTCCAGACTGCCGATAGCTGTGGCCAGCAGGGATGCCCCGCAGGGGTGGGAGATACGAGCAGGGTCAAGCACTTACAAAACTCAACGCAAAGCAAGCGGGCTCAGCGCCAGCCTCCAAAACTCCCACAAGGCAGCAGTAAACGTGCACAAGGAAGTTCACCAGGATCTTAATTTCATATGAAAATTAAACAAACGAGAAATAACTTCTTAGAGCTTAGAGAGGGAGCTCTGCCGGCATTCCAGATGAATGCCAAGGGTGGTGGTCTCCACCGCTGGGAACGCACCAGCCCCTCTCCTCTGAGCCTCTACAAATAAGAGTGGCCCCCCCTCACCCCACGTCCATGCTCCTGCCACAGCACCCTCCTGCCTTGTCTTACCCAGCCTCCTTAGAACTCAGCATTTTGGCCCAGATGAGGTCAGTGTCAATGGGCTCCTCGCGAGGGTTAGTGGAGCTGACCTGCAGCATCAGGCTCTCGCAGGGGGCACCCGTTAGTGTAGCCAGGCCTTCAATAGCACGCCCTGCCTGGAGGGCAAAGTACGAACCATGAAGCTTGGCCAGCGCCTTCTCAATGAGGGCAACCCACAACTGCTTCCTCTGGGCCTGCGGAAAGGAGAACAAAGGCGTCATGAGCTGCCCGGGCAGGAGATGGGAGAGCAAAGGTGGTGCGTGCAGACAGGGCAAAGCCCACTCCTGCCAGCCCCACACTGCGATGTGAGATGGAGAGGCAGGAGCAGCAAGGCCAAGTCACAAGGAGCTTGTCCACCCCAACACTGATGCTGCTTGCTGCCTGCTCGGTGTTTTGTTTGCATGGTTTAATTCCCCTTGGGAAAACGTCCTGGATGCCCAAGAGGCCCGGGCACCGACACGGCTGCATCAGGCAGTCAGGCTGGCTGGGGTGGGTGTCCACCTTGTAAGCTAACATTCCCTTCCCCCTGCTTCAAATTGGACTGGAAAATGTTTAGTAATGGAAGAGGATATTGAGCACATCTGGAACAGCTGCTTTTCACTCACACACCACTGCAAAACAGATCCAACACACCTTTGGCGGGGAAAGCTGCCTAGAGCACACACGGCCACGGGACCGATTAGGTTTCACCCACGGAACGGAGTCGTGGTTTCAAGGACAAGCACCACAACCTCCCAGGCAGACAGAAGGTTCTCCTCTACTCCTCTACTCCAGCACAGGGACAGTGGCAAGACGTAATGAGAAGATACAGGTTTTGCAGTGGGGAACTCTCCCTGGCATCGCTTCACTCTGGTACCAGGCTATTGCTTCTGGCATTGCCAGGCCAACTGCGGATTCGGAAAGACACACAGAAGGTGCATTCATGCACCCAGAGGTTTGCAGAGCCTCCATCGGCTGCAGCAATGCGGGCGCAGGGCACAGCCTTCGCTGCTACGTCCAAGCCACCACTGCAGCCCTCGGCGAGTCGCGGGGTGCCGCCCCCAGCCCTGCCTTACCCCTGGAGTTCTTCAGGAAGGGGGGAGATACCTCCGCTCCAGCCCCAGCCTGCAGAGAGGATAGAAAGAGGAAGGCGTAGGAGGACAAGACAAGGAGATGTTTGCTGGCCTCCCAGCAAATCGGGTTCAGTACCCAGTGCTCCGAGGAAAAGCACTGGGACACTGACTGTGTGCGACTCACAGGTGGCAGCCAAGAGCTGGGAGAGGACAGGAGGGCAGGGAAGATTGCTGTCCCATGGATAAAGCATGCTTCCAAGTGCTTTTCACTGGTTTTGAAGTCCCTCACTCACTAAACTCCAAGTTGTTTATTTCTGCCTTAGCAGCATCCAGGCAGCTCTGGTAAGAGCCTGATTTTCCTTTATTTTCAAAACTCTCCCTTTTCCCATTTTTAGCCCCCACATTCAGCTCACACAGCTAACGCTTGGCATAAAAATCTCATCACGATTCAGATGCCTCTGGAAACAAAGGCAAGGCAAGCCCAGCCCAGCAAAAACCTTCAATCTTAAAAAAAAAAAAAAGCAGACTTGAAATTTTAAGGGAGGAAAGACGGAAAAGAGGGGCAAATCTCATGCTGAAAACCACATGTCTGACTGGATCCTCTGTCTAGCATGAGGAAAAATGCAGATGCAGACTCCTTCTTTCCCTCTGCAAAGTTTCTCATTAACAGCACCAGCATCCAGCAGCCCTGGCAGTCATTTTGCCCTATTCAGTGTCCCCGTATCACTGAGGGACAGTGGGCAGGCAGCCCAGACTCAGCAGTGCCTGCGCCCGCATGGCTTGAAGCCCCTGCCCAGATCCCTGCCCCACTGCCCAGGGGTCAGGAGCCAGTGCTGCCAGCTGTGCCCAGAGCTCTCTGGTAGCTCCAATTAGCAGCTGCCCAGGAGCGGGCCACCTCCACGCTGCAGAGGGCACAGGCTACTAAGCCCACACAAACTGGGGACTCTGCAAGCTGTGCTGACATTAAAGTTCCCCAAATACTCCTCTTCGGGCCCCATTTCCCCAGCCAGAGTCGTCCTGACATCTACGCAGGACATGGTTTGTGTGTACTTTAAAACAGAGGATTGGGATCTGCAGAACAAAGTCCAACCCAAGAGCCCCGTGTCCCTGTCTCCTCCTGGCAGCAGCTTTTTGTTTCGTTTGGCAGATTTTGCTGCCTGCATTTCAATAAAGATGTTCTCGGTCTCCTTCATGGACGTGATCCCACCAAGCCCCTGGGCCTGGCAGGTGGGGCACAACGCATGGTGACGTCCCGAGGCAGCTGAGGGAGCTTCGATAATCCTGGCAGACACCACCCGAGTGTGCTCAGAGCAACCAGGCACCGGCTCGAAACAGGCTGCTTTGTCTCACGGTCCCTCCCTGGCAAGGCCAAGCTGCCAGGCCTCCCCGCAAAGGAAAGAAGCAGCTTGCCCTCAGCCCCTCGCAGTGAAAAACACAAGGGTTAAAATGTTTTCCTTTGGCTGTGAAGGATAAGGATGGCTTCCCCTGTAAGTGAAGTGGTGGTGGTGCAGGGAGGAGCGAGGGAAAAGCAACTGCAAATGAAACGTCTCCATCGCAGCCTGGAAAATGCCAAAAGGAGCCTGATTGATTTACATCATGGCCTCAAAGAGTTCAGCTGTCCTGAAGGTGCAGCAAAAAGCAGGGTCCTGAGCTGCCAATGCAGCACAGAGCAGGGGCCTTGCATGAATCACCTCTTCCCACTGCCCCATCAGCCCCTTCTCCTGGGAGAACCAGGGACAAGCCCACCCTGCCCCGGGAGCACTGCCCACACCTCCCAGCACCCCTCTCGCCCCCAGGGCCGCTGACCTGTGAGAAGAGGAGGTACCCGCACTCATCGCAGGGCAGCATGTCGTCCACCAGCACCGTGGTCCACGTGCCATCCTTGCACAGCCGCACCTGGTAGGCACCCTCGGGGCAGAGCGTCCTTGTGATCATCACCCTCTCCACCAGCTCCGGCCGCTCGGCCAGCACGGCCAGGGCGCTCAGGAACCTGCCAGCAGGACGGGGCGGTCTCAGCAGGG